AAACTCTCGCAAGTTACCAAATCCCCCAACTTTGTTTCGCTTTCTGTCTGGCACCCACTTTCTATTTGCGTTGCATCAATTTTTGAGTACAGTGGAGCTGGGCCAGGATGACGCTAAAAAGGGAAACCCCGCGACGAAAAGAAAGCAAAATAAATGGAATTACCGGCACGGTAAAAGGACATAGCTGCGGGCATCCTGCGGCGCAGCCTGTTGAGTAATGTGATGGCCGCACGCGTCTCGCAAAATGGAAGGAACGTGCAACTTACCCCCGGAGCACACGGCAGCTACTGCAGCACCGAAAGGGCTGATATTGGACTGGTATTTGGCGTGGGCGCAGACCAGCTGGATCAGCTCCTGGTGCTCGGTTAAGCTTGCTGATTTCATTACTTCGCCTCATGTTTATGCTGACTGCACCGAAATCCGGGTGCCAGGCCACGCCTTGCCCTTGTTGTGACAACCCCTGATGACTTCCCGTCCCCGTTTTATGAGCCCCTTGTCCATGAACGTGCATTTGGTGGTCTCTAAAGACGGCGCTTATCAGCAGTTAAGTCCTCTGGTAAGTCAAACGTAAACAAATACAACCCTCGGGACAAAAGGGCCTTCCAAAACTGTCTTCGGGATATTTATTGCCTTCGTTCGGCTTTCTTTTAATAACTTTGCTTTCGATGGGGCTTAGCTTTGTTTCTCTTCATATTTTATATGTTTGTTTTTTAAATAAACAAACAAGAAATCGCTGAGAAAATACACTTTAATGAATTTTAAATTTAACAGACTTTATTTAGAATTTTGTGCTTGCAAGAGTTACTTTTGTCCCACTGTGCGCAGTTTATGAATAATATAAATAACTGCCATATAGTTTATGTCACCCATATTTACTAATTAACATTATTCGGCTCTTATTTCAGGTTTAGCTTTATACAGCTGGCAGCGTGAAATATGCACCAAATCTCTGGCTTACTCAACTTCCACGAACCAAAAGCTATATGGAAAAACAGGTGGGTGAAAATTTCGAAAAAATTTGCCATTATTCAAAAGGCTCGTAACTTTATATATATAACGGCTATAATAAACAAATGAATTGCAGCTTTAATAACAAACAAAAAAAAAACAGAAGTCAAGGCATTAATTAAGAAAGGGTTTCACACATTTCGCACAATCCACCCCCATGCATGAAACATACCAGTAAAAGTTTTAGTGGGAGGAGTTGAAATTGTAAACTCTTCTACAATTCAGACCTTTTGAGTACGTTTCCAGCGAATTAACAAATTTCATTCGTTCATGTGGAAAATTGGCGGAAAACGGTTGAGGGCAACTTTTTTGTTTACTTTTCGATCGGATGCAAATTTATTTTAAATAATCTTAGTAAGAATTTTGTTTAGATGTGTTGAATATTTTTCCCAAAATGTAGCCCTTTTAGATAAAAACTTTGGTCAAAGGTTATATTCTGATATTGTACGAAAAACGTTGATTCAAACTTTTTCTTCTAAGTTCTTGGACTTCTCAAATATACTATATTAAATACTCGAAACATGGAAATCATGGAAGTACATTGGTTTATTATGAAATTACAGTTCAATTTTAAAATAAATTAATGTTTAAATAGATCGTATGTATGCTTATCTGGAATAGAAAAAAGAATGTTTGTTGAAACTAACTACATACAAGAGTTGTTAACATAACAAACATATCTTTATAAATGTCTACAAAAAATATTTGTGTATAAATTTTAAGCCGAGGCTAGTTATGAAAAGATTTGCAAAGTGAGCTTGCGGGAGAAATTACATTTAAAGAACCCAAGTGTCTAGGTCCAATTAGAAAAGTTGAATGTGTCCAATTAGAAAAGTTGTGTTATTCTTTAATTGAATGAAAAACAAAAGCGAAAGTAAACAACGCGTTAGCTAGTCGTCGGCATTAACCCGTATTAATTATAATCATAAACTATAATTTTCACCCAACACGCGGCCAGTAAAAAGAATCACTGACCGGAAAGACTGAACTCTTGCGGGTCTGTTGGCTGAAAAAGAAAGCGAGCACACATGTATGTATATATGTATAAGATATATAGATATATACTTTTATGTACTATATACATTTCGTATAACTCTCGAGCCCGACCATGCTCCCAAACCAGAACAACTGCTCGCGTCGCGCGTTAATCTGGCCAACAAATTGTCGAGGGGCCAAAAAGACAGTTTGCCATTTTATGCGAAATGTTGGCACAAAAGTCACATGTCAAATAGGTCGGATAACATAATGCCCCCTCCGGTAGTCTTGGTTCCTGGATATATCGTTGCAGTTGAGCGTCTTTTGCGTGCAGAAACCAGAATTTCAATTCTCCTCGACGCAGACATTCGCGTGGGTGCCCAAAACCTGACTTCGACAACAAGCTAAAATTGTCAAAGCGCGTAGTATGTAAATTTGGGAGCTTTACGGAGACATTGGGCATTCGGTGTGACGCATAGGTTTTGCTCTTTTCGGGTAAGGTTCTAATTCGAGCAAGTACCATTATATGAAACCCGAACGAATAACCTTGGTATCTGCAAATTCTTATATCATTTCGAACATGGATTGTGTTCTTTATTCATCTAATCCAGAATAAAATACATAGATAAAAGTTTGTCTTGTGTCTAACTTATTATTAAGTACCCATAGACAAAATATCTGATATTATTATCTGGGTTCCATTTCTTTAAAACAAGATTTCGTCAGTAATTAACAATAATTTTCTATTTAAATTTTCCTGATACACAAGAACATTTTATTAGAAGCCTAATATCAACTTGCAATTGTTTTCCCACACTTTATAAATATATGTTTATTACAATTTATCTGCCCACACACCTCCTTAACGCAGTATTTGTTATTTAAATTTTAAGCAAGCCCACCTACTCAAATTCTCAAGATGCCTTTCGGCACTTTTATGTATGTCTGAATATATGCACATGCATATACATATAAGCTTTATCTGCCGTTGTAAGTTCACATTTTATCATCATCTTTTGCATTTTACACGCAACTCTGTTGCGGAGGTGCCGCAAATGTCTTGAAATGAAACTGGATTTCGTGGTGTTGCATGTGTGGGTGTGAGTGTGCGTGCATGTGTGAGTGCATTTGGCATGGGGTTCGCCTGGCCGTGTCCGTGTGTTAGTGAGTGTGACACTTTTCTCTTTTATTGCATTATGACATTTATTTATGATCGCTCTCGCGCCCCGACACAAGCCAGACCCAACTGCAAGGGGAGTGTTGAAAAACGACATGCAAAGGCAATTCTAGGGTTGTTTCTTGTGACACTCTTCAATGTCGCATTCGCAATGGTCATGTGTGTGCGTACGTTTGCTATTTATTGCTATCAGCTCTGACTTCAGTTGAATTCGTTTTTCATACTTTTTCTTTCTTTATAATGCGAGCTTCCTCACGATTTGCTCTGCTTTCTAGGAAAATTATCACGAACATACATAAGTACAAGCATGCATATACATATTTGCATGTTGTATGTATGTACATAATTATGTAAACGTATAAACGTATGCCAAAATGCCAAATGCATTTCCAAGACCGAACTGAAAGCTCGAATCTGACAGCCGAATCTGGGGCTTGACTGAATCACACCTTTGTTGCCGTTGCTGTTGAAACTGATAAATGAAAAGTTACGTTTATACATGCATACATATATGAGCACCTTAATAAATATACGTGCATGTGTACATACATACATACATGCATATGTATTTATGTTGTGTGCAGACTTCCAGTAATATGCATGCGTCAGTCTGTAGCTGTTGCTTTGAACGAGATCTGAAAGAGCTTTGGGTGTGATATTGCGAATAAACCATACAAAAGTCAGACACACACACACACACACCAACACACACATACACAGAGAACTACACAGATGTCTAACTGCTATGTACTTTATTTTTCCACATACTGTTTTTCTCATAATTGTTTTTCAAGAACAGTTAAATATAAACAAAGCTTGCGTAATGCATTTAAGCTTGAAGAGCATGAAGAGAAACAGAAATAGAGAGAGAGATAATATCGAACAGAGATGACCAATGGCGTAGTCTTTTCACACAAAGATCGGTCGCCGGAGCGCAGAACAATTGAAATTCATTCAAAAACTCGTAAACTTAATTACCGAACGACGAACAGCAACAACTTGCAAGTGTGGGTCGCACGCAAACTAAATACATACGTAGCAAAAATGGCATCTCAAACAATATTCAGTGTCAATGTGAAGTGGGGGAAGCAGTTATGACAGTATATGTATGTATGTATTAACATACATGCATACATACATACATTCATATGTATTGACTGTCGAGAAAACAATTACAATGCAGCATTGCTACAAGTACCATCTGAATGAATAATTATTGTGAATAGTGAACATTTACTTTAAGAATACATATTTCGTGGCATCTTATGGCTATATATGTATGTGCCTATAATATAATCAACACTTTTATTTGTGCATAAATAAAATTGTTTTACCAATCCAACCCACATACCTACAACTGTTAACAGATTATGTTAAATCTTTGCCATCAGCAAATGTTATTCGACTGTATGCCATTCTATTCGTATCCTATATTGTTTTTTACTACTATATTTTCTTAAAATCTACATTAATATAAATAAGTTCAAATCTGGTTAAACTAACTAATCGTCATTTTGAGTTCTATTAAGCCGTTTATAAATACAAGCAGGAGTGCCCGACTAGCAAACACCCTTCACAAACATTTACAGACACTCACACACATGCACGCATGGAAGATGAAGACTATGAAATTTGTAGAGGCTTCATGGGGATTAAGCGTTAAAATAGGTTATTTCCAAATTTGGGGGAAATGAGGAAAGGTAAAAGTGAAGTAGTGAGGTATTTCTCTTTGTTGAATGTAAAGAATCAATACATTGAACGTAAAACATACTGAAGCCTACTTTTCTCGTCAGATAAAACCTTAGTGAGCTTAGTGAATAAGCAAATATTTTGACCAGTATAGAAAACAAATTCAAATCGAAACTCATCTAAGATCAAAACATTATCATTTGACTTTAAATTCCGGTGTTGTTTGTCTGAAAAACCCGTATACCCGCAAATGAAGTTCCGGCGCAATCCATTGCCCCGACGACTCGTAGACGTCCTATGTTTCCTAACGATAGTCGTTGTGATACCCCTTGGGATTCTCTATGACTTCATATTTGTGTTGCCGGCATACCATCAGCCTGGAGGATATGCATATGCTTTCACGGTCCTTACAGTTATATTCATGTTCCTCAACGGAATCGCAAACCTGATTGCCTGCATGATAGTTGACACAAGCGTCGACCGTGAGTATTGATCGACCCGGAGCTGGAACTATGTGACTTCCTTTCGCCTTTAGAAGAGCGTGTCGTGCTGTACTCCAGTGGGGATGTGGAACCTCTCAATTGGCGACACTGTGCGATCTGCGATAAGCTGGCACCTCCCAGATCCTGGCACTGCAAGGCGTGTGGCGTTTGCATATTGAAACGCGATCATCATTGTATGTTCACGGGATGCTGCATTGGGCATCTAAATTATCGATATTTCGTGTGCTTCGTGTTCTACCTGTTCGTTTTATCGGCCCATCTGCTAGCTTATAATTCGATTCATTTGAAGAACTTTTTCAGTCTATTGACTATTTTTCATTTCTGGACCGAACCATGGGGAATGCTACACAAGCATTTGCTTTCTCTCAATGTGCTGCTATTCGTCCTAACGTCCGTTACTTTGGTCAATAATGTGCCCCACATGTTACGGGGTCGGGTCTGTACTGAGTGCAAGTCGCCGCACAAATACAATTGTGGAGTCAACTACAATTTAAAAAATATTTTTGGCCAGCAAATGTATATCGCTTGGCTTTCTCCTCTGATCGAAAGTCAATTAGCTGATGATGGTTACACGTGGAAATCGAAGACGGTAGACGATAAGTTGGAATAGGTAAATGCAGCAAAAGGAATAGCTAATAGCTAATGTATTTGCATTTTGTTATATATTTGTTAAAATTATTGTAGAAATATTAAAATTATAGGAAATTTTGTTAACCATGGTCTATTTTTAAGGTCGCACAGGTTCCAAGATCATAAAATAATACTTAACTTCAGTCCAATTGTTGCTTACGAAACAGACTCCTTTAGCCTACATTTGCCTACGATTTCTCCTAGGATGCAAATTGGGGCTTATCTGATTAAAATTTTAGATAATATTAGGTCGCTTTTTCTGGGTGTAAGACGTGAAATAGACTTTTTGTAGGATATGCTCTACATGAACCTACATACCAAGTTTGTTGTCTTATGATCTCATAGATAAATCGATAATTATCGATTTTTAATCATGGAGTAGTCTATGAAGAAAGCTAAGCTTGATTTGCTCATGATTTGAGCGAATCAAAATTTATTCAAAAATCAAAGTCTTTTGGCTTTTTAGGTCTCTTGGACCGAATATGAAGTCATCTAGTTGCTCTAAAAGGCACATACATATGTGTTTTAATAAAGAAAACTATAGACTGAGCATGGGACTCAAGAGGTTGGTGTTGGCATTTGCATCGGAGGAAGGTGTCTTAACGGATTTGGTACGTGTTGTCTGGACCAATCTTCGGGTCGGCTGGCGGCAGTGAAACAAGCCCCGGTCAAGCCGAGGCCCTTAAGTGTAAATTGGCCATGTCCAGTGCTAATGGATCGACGCACGCCAGCGCAAAAGGAAAATGTGAAAACTGTTTATGGGCACACAGCATTGGAGCAGCATATAAATGGCAATGAATTGCCGCCGATCGTGCAGGAAAAATGCCATGGAAAACATGTTCAACACGAAAAACACGCGCCAAAACAATTCCCAGTGCGCTGAGAAAGTCGAGAGGCCGATCGGAGTAACAGATGTTTAGAGTGTGAAAAGCTATTAAAGAAAAAGGGGTAAAAGGTGCTTAGGCTTTCCCTATTCGCCCTAAAAGATTCATTGCAAATCTGCTAGAGATAGCTTATAATTAAAAATAATAATATCTCTGTGCATAGTTTATCAGTCCTTTCATTATTATATAAACCAAGCCAAAAGAAAGGCGAAAAATTGAAGATATCTAGAGAAATGTTTAGTTTTAGCTTGGAGTTCTTTTTTTCTCTAAACAAAGATTACTTAAGATCTTTGTGGTAAGATTGTGGAATTCTTTTGTCCGCCCAAAAGCCATTCTGATAACGAAGTTATTTTTATTAAAGCGCACACATCAAATTATAATCGCAGGCTCAAAGGAAGACAGAAGAAACGCTTCAAAAGTGCAAGCTTGAAAATATTTTTATGTATAAACAAGGTGCAAGGTAAATAAGCAGAGAATTTATATACGAGAGTCGCGTCTAGATACCCTCTCCCAAAGCAATTTTCTTAATAGCACTTAAAACTCTTCATCAATTTAAATAATTAGTGTAAGCTTCACTCAGCCAAAGCAAGAATTTTGTTTTAATTAGAGCTAGAATGAAATACTTAATTAGTTGTACTAAAGTTAAGGTAAGAGTCAGTATACCCTTTGTGAGGGTGTTAAACTGCACAGAGTCATTCGCAGGCAGTTGGTCGAGCTGGTTAGCTAGTAAGCCGAGTTGCTGCTGGGGCTTTCATGCTGGCCAACAACTGCAAACGGTTCGTAAACTTGAAAACTGGTAACTGTCTGCAAGGAGGGAAGGAGAGAGAGAGAGAGGGCAGATATCGAGAGAGAGTGAGAGGAGGCGAAGACCGGTTTTGCAGACTTGAAAAATGCAGAAAACGGAAAAGAGTCAAGCACAAGCATAAACATAAACGCTGGCAATCAAATGAGGCTTGGCACTCGCAAAAGGGGTCAAAGTTGAGCACGGCACTCGAGTATTCGTTCATACGAATAGATACTACATGCATGCACATATATTTAAGTACACAAATATTAATCATGCCTACTCCTCAGACTCAAACTTACTTGAAAGAGCCGTAAAAATTAGCGAGGAAAGCTGTTGATTGCAATCGATTCAAATCTCGTTTTGACACATCGCAGTAATATGTTATGTGAAACGTGATTTACGGATTGTGAAAATCCATTTCCAAAGTGGTCGAGGCAAATGTTAACTTTCCTTATGTTGGATATGGGTGAAAAAAGTGATGTTCAAATTTAGACCGGGCAAGGCCAGGTAATATCGTCTGTATGGACACCAAGCTTACTGCATTTTATTGTACGTGTGTGTACATGACAAATGCAATTTCGGTAAAAAACAAACTAAGAAAAACGCATTTTCAATATCGCTCTTCTACGCGATTCTCATGAATTCTAGTCACAACTTTTCTGATTCACAAGTTTTCTTACTTTGATAAAAAGTGAAATGTGGCGTAAGCCAGCTTTAAATGAATAGCAATTTTTTTTATATGTTTTTAGCGATCTGTAAATTTACGTTTAAGTCTGCATACATGAAATAGCAGAGAATAGAGGAGGTAATAAATTAAAATAATAGTAATAAAATATTTGTAAATGTATGTTAAGGCAATTCATATTGAGTTTCTTGCAGACTTCTAATTAACTGTAATTATCATCTTAAGTTTATTGTGCATTAACATTATTAGCACAGATTGCATTGAGTATCTATTTTTATTCAGCCGAACCGACAGCTACAGACTACGCTAAATGCCACTTCAGACACATGCCATTCTCTCGGTATTTGTTAAGATATTTCTGGAATCTCCCATATTTGCTATTGTTTATATATATATCAAGAATATTTGTTTGGATATGATTGAATGGGCTTGCAATTCAAATGAAAAGAACAACTTTTGGCTAATTGAAATGTTGATATCTTTGTAGATCTTAAGCATTATACATTTAAAGCTCATTAACTCTCCCACGGCTATGACTGTGTCTATGACTGGGAGCACATCATTACCACTGAGACAGCTCGACACCGTCATTAAAATAAAGTTATGAGATTGGAGCTTTCACACCCAATTGTAATTATACTTTTTATAATTTATGATAATTTTCCATCACCTTTTCCATGCCATACCAGAAACCCCCAATTAAAGATTGTGCTATAAATCCGAGACGAACATACACGAAAAATAAGGCATCCAAACGACAGATGCGGGCATTGCCATGGGCATATATAAGTTTTCTGTCTGGTTCAAATTAATCATGTTGAAGTTGTGAAAGGGGCGGAACGGGCTTGGGTGGATGACATGAAATCAAGTTGCCACAATTAAAAATCTTTTCAGTTTCATGTTTAAGTCATAATGTTAAAATGATTCGTATTGAAATTGGAGATCATTTACCAAACCATTTGACACTTTTAAATTTCCAGCAGACATTGAGAAATGAAATAAAATCTTAAATTTAACAATATATTAAATTCTTTATAAATAGTCAAAACTATGCCTAATGCTGGAGTATCGAGTTGGGGTTAAGAATATATCTTATGTTAAGGATGTGGAACCTTTGTAATACTAGAAAACAGCAAGATCTAGAGAGTCAATTGACGAATGAAGGATGTAAATATAAGAAAAATTAATGTTTTTCGGCTGGGAAGGGGGCACTCAGAGATTCCGGTGTCGTAGTTGAATTTTGAAGCCAGATGAAGCGTCATTGAGCTGTCAAGCTGAGGCACCGAGGCACCAGACTGGCGGCATTCAGTCTTCAAACTGTGGCATACACGATTTTTATTTCAAATTCAATTAAAACTCGCCCCTTACGGATCGCTCTGATTGACAGGGGGCTTGGCCAGGCACTATTGACATACAGCAGTCGGGCGGGTAAGTGCGTGCCAAAGGAGTTTGGGTTCTAGGAATTCCGCTCAGTCTATGAACAGCTCGCAGCATGGCGGGTCATTGTTTAGAAATTGTTGTACATAATTTTCTATATGGAGCTATAGCTCTGTAACGCAATTCAAATCAGATTGCCGAGAGAGGGGCAGGGCCTGTTTTGGGGTCAGGCCCGCGCCGAATGTCTATAAAAATCATATTAATTATCAAAAATGTGCTGGGCATTTATCAAAAAGCCAAAGCGCATTCATTTACCAAAGTGTCGGGAAAATATTTCACACAAATGGGCAACCAAAGCTAATACAAAGATTTTAATTAAGAGCGACCATATTATTTATGGGCCTGCGAGAATTGCCAGAGGCGGAGGCGGTGGTGGAGGAGGGGGAGGGGGAGGGCAGTCCGCTTGGATACCGTGCACTCCAGTCGAATTTCGAATTTATTTGTCGATCAAGAGCTGTGCGTTTTTTTTTAATAATAAACTTTGCATATTTATGAAAGTTTATGGCACTGCCGTGCGTCTTCCCTCGCCATGCGACGCATCTGTATCCTCATCCGCACACGCACGACGAGATTTACAATTGCCCATAAATCTTGCGGCCGCGTCTGCGCATGCTGCACTCGCTCTTCGCTCCCCTCGGCGCAGACGGTGGCAGTTGCCCATTAAGCGACACCAGGAATCAAAACATTAAAAGTAGCGGTAGCCATTGATGACGGAGGATGGCGGATGGAGAATGGAGGAGGAGCGGCCGCCGGCGGCGGCGTCTGGTAGCACTTGCTTTCGCTTTTCATTCCAGTGGCAGGGGATGCTGAGAGCCGGCAACAGCCGGATTGTGGCTGCCACATGCAACGTGGCACATGCAACATGTCTGCCCTCGCTACTTGCGCATCTTTCAGTTTGTTTACTCGACTGTCATAAAATTTAAATGCGTACTTTGGCGCTAATTTAGATGACGCTGGCCTGGCGTCTGCCGATTTGCCGGAAGATGCGCATTTGCTTAATTGGAAGTGTTGCTAACGGGCAGCTCCAAATCCCCCAGTTGACAAACCTGCCCCCGGCCAGATCTGCTTTGTCGTTGGAAAACTATCCAAGGGCTATTTTTGTGCATTCTAATATTCGCCCGACGGTGAAAGTCATTGCCATTTGAACGTTGGGAAGGTGTGAAATTCTCGTCTCAGGGGATTTTACAAGAGACCTCACTTTATTCTCAGTACATTAAATCATCTTTAAAATAAATCAAATAATAGGATAAAGGCGCGAGACTT